GTAAATTATACAAGTATGCTGTAGATAACACCAAAAGATGTTTTGAACTTTTTGTGGAGAATGGAGATTAGATTGGTGACTGTTGACCTTAGAATTTATCTGCTGTAGTCTGAGAGTCTGAAGGTAAGTCAGCAGTTACGTAATTTAAGTCAAACCAGTTATAGAACAATCTGTTCATGCACTGTTTTGCTTGATGTCCTTAGTTGGCGACTTTTTTAAGCCCAGTGCCTCTGAATCCAGTAAATCTGCAGACTGGACATACTACACCACTAAATGGACTGTCACCAGCAGGTAATAGATACTACAGACCACCTAACCTTCATGGAGATACAGTTTTCTTGTTAGAACATCAGGGCTTTACATAATGGCTGTTCAAGACTAGGAGCAGCAACAAACATTGACAAAATCTCATCTTGCTTGTGGCTTCTCTTAGACTTGTCTGTCGCTTTTAGCATTTAAAGCAACTAGATACATAGGAGATAATCTGCTACTTTTGGGAAGGTACAAAAAAGTAACATGCAGTAAGCATGCTTTTCATTTACATTTCAATCTGGATTTATCTGCCTGTCTTTATTCTTTAGCTGCATCAAAGAACAAGTCACAGTCACCTCATTACTATGAGGTAATGGAATTTGATCCCTTGGCTCCCACTGAGTAAGTAACTTTTAAAATAGATAATATACAGTTTTATTAGGTGCCAAAGGCGAAAAGGCTTTTGAGATGGCTTTTTTCTTCTGACTGAGAAAACAGATTACACTATTTAGACTGCATTAGCTGACCAGCTGGATTGCTTATGTAAATGAGTGGCTGCATTTTGTACATTTTCTTCCAATATTTCTGGCATAACCAATTAAGGAATAAACTCCTATAGTTTGTTAATTGAACGGCATCTGTAAAAATGGTGGAGTAATGCTGTGTCAAAAACGATCTACTAAAATCCTGTTTGGTGATATGAAAAGATTAATAGAATGTGGTAAGGGTCCTGGTGGAGGAAGGTGACTGACACTTCAACACAGGTAGTTCTAGAGCAAAGTTACCAAAGTAATTCCTGTTCACAGCAATCGTGGTTTTTAAGAATGTTGTTCTACTGCATGTCAAGAAAATCCTCAATTTACATATAAGCTACGCAAGGGAACGGATGCTGGGACTCTCCAGAAGGCCTAATAGTCAGACAGAAAACTAATACAAAACTAAATGGATGGCAGAACCCTGCTTGGTACCAGTAAATTGCAAAAAAATTTGAGCCATCTGCACAAAACTTATTTCCCAGGAACCATCAAACTCTGAGGTAGAAAAATCTCAACAAAGCTGTATTTTTTTTTATTTTTTTTAACTAGTGCAGTACTTGCATGCCACGTGGTATGCTGGCCACTTGCGTTTTGCAGTTGTGTTCCCACACTTATTTCATCAGAAGTGACAATGTCCAGAGGTGTCTCATTACACACACAGTCGCAGGCACACCACAGGATTGGCTCTTTGTTTCCATGGAAACCTGGGCATCCTGCAACTGATGCAACACCATTAGGCAAACTCTGTAAACTCTTGGCAGTTCATGCTTGGGCAGGATTTCTTTGGTGCATTTTGTCAAAATGAAACAACTGTGATGTAGCATTTACCCTGTTCCTGTTCTTTCAGAGCTGTTTATGAAGAAATTGATGTCGTGCTGAAGACAGAAGTTACAAAGAATACGGAATGCTGAAGGTGGAGGTGAAGTTTTTTGCTGAACACGCATTGTTCTCTGATGTTGGTCCTGTGCAGTGCTTCCTATAATGTGCAGGTGAATAGCCAAACAGGTTTTGTATTTTGACACAACAAACAATAAGTATTGGAATGCTAAGCTATGTGGAAGTTGAAGAGTTATTTGGATCTACACCTTGATGATTTGTCTTAAATGTTCAACTCTGTATTCTTCAAGGTGACTTGGATGATTATTTTTAAAGTATTGGGGCCTTTATGATTTCCAAATTCATTTGCGTATGAAGTTCACACTCGACACCTGACACAAGTAAACAAAAAGGACTCTTGCAACTGTAGAAGAAAGCTTTTCTTCCGAGTTAACTGTTCCTTTGTATTACTTTACCCCTTTATGCAGCAAACAAAACAGAAAGTTGTATTTATAGAAAGTTATATTTACAGAAACTGCAGAATCCAGTTTCTAGTTTGTCCTCGTTGCTGTCTGTTAATCCCCTTAGAAATTTGATATGCAGGACATTTCTAAACTTGGGCCTCTTGATAGATGTCTGAAGACACACAGTGCTACTTTCCTACATTTGTATTCTGAATACAGATATTGTTTTCTAACTAAAAGCCCGCAATGTAGTTGGATTTTTGTCTTGGGAAGAACCTGAGAAAACACCCTGCTTGTTCCATTGTTGTTGTTGTTGCTTTTATTTACTCAGTAAATATTGGAGGGGGATCAATCGTTTCTTTCAATGTTCCTGCCCTGCAGAGCTTGCTATTCTGGTGAAGGAAAAAATAATCATCTACAATGCAGATGAGCAGTGTAGATTTTATTTTAATCAAGTTGTTTAACCCTGTTAATAACAGTTTTATCTTTTAATAATTAAAGTGCCTTATCTATTTTCATGCTGAATGTAAAATGTGCACTTTAACAGGTATCGTTCTCTGAATTTATAACCGATATAAAATTTGAGAACTTTGTTCATGTTCATAGCTGATTTGTTGTGAAATACTGCATTTTAAATGTTCATTGTTAATTGTTTAACTGATCAGTTCTCAGTCTTGTTATGCAATTTTCGTAGCATAAAATTCCAAATAAAAGCAAACACTTACTGAGAAGTTAATCTGCATCACTTCTGAGTTTTTACCAGATGACATGCGTATTCCATGAAATACCAAATGCAGATAGTATTGCAAGTATTTTGGTGTGAAATCAGGGAGTATTTAGGAAGGAATTTAGAAGTACTTAGGCATTTCATTGCATGGTTAGCAATTTTGCAGCTTGCTGTAGGGCCTTTAGAACACTGTAGCTCTATCAGAGACAACACTGAAGTAGTTTTTTTGTAAGCAGAGGTGAAAAGGGAAGCTGCTTTATTATTTTTCTTGTAATATTTGGAATGGTCTGGACAGCAGCCTGAGAAAACTGCTGAAAATAGGATTTGAGGTGGATTGATTCTTCCCTACAGCTTAGCTGTATTGTTAAAAGCCTATCGCCTGAAGTGTAACAAATTCAAACAGGCTATTTCAATATGGTAATCCATGATGGACGATCGCTAACTGAACGTTTCTATATATAAAAAAGCAAAATGGTCACAGACAGATGAAACCTCTGAAGGGAACTGGCTAATTACTGAGGTTAGAGAGCTTGTTGTATAGTTGGAACGTGCTCAATATCTGTGCAAACCTGAGCTTTCAAACTCGGGGGGAAAACACACATTTGTATGAAACTGGTGCTTGCCAGGGGAATATTCTTTTTCTTCTGAAGCACACAGCCAGAATAAAACAATGTGTGGAAAACCCCGATAATCAGTTCAACTTTCAAAAAGACAATGGACTAAAGACAACGCAGGTAAGAATTCCCCTCTCCCCCCACCCCCCAGCCTGGATTCAAAGATTTGTTATTTTATTTTTTCTTTTTGAAGCATAACTGGAATTATAGATTATAAAGCTTGCTGCTGTCTTCCTGCAGATCTATTTCATTTGCATTATCTCCACATCTTCTGCTGGATCACATGCATTAGAGAAATGAAAGAATAAAAAGTTTTAAAGCTTTAATAAGTATACAGTGAAGACCTGACATGAATGTCATCCAGATCTATTTAAACAACAAGTAATTGGTACAATAATGCATTTTAAAGGTAGGATCCATTTATTTTCAAAAAAAAAAGGCACTTTTAAAATTATAGTATGCAAACATAATTGAGACTAAAGTAACTGGAAGTTATTTCTAATATACCTATTACCTTTTTAGAACAAACCAACATTAGTCTTACTTTGTTAGATCTCGTCTGCTGAACGGTGTAGAAGGAACTGGCCTAGCAGATGAGATACTGGGCTGCCATTGAGTGGGTCACTTAAACTTGCTCTGCAACTCCTCATTTGCAAAGCTATGATAAAGCGTTATTATCCCTGCCCCACAGATAATAATGAGAAGTTACATAAGTAGAGGCTTACACATCCCAATGGTAAACAGTACCTAGGAGTACCTCTGACCCACCGATACGCTGCTGGGCAGGCTTTGTCGGACTTCACCTCTGACTGGGGCTGATTTCCTTTTGGTTTTCGAGGAGGCTCCTCTGCTATTAATTCAGCCTGCAATTTAGAGCAGTTGTTTGTATACTGCCTTGTCCTTCAGAGCATTTCATAAATAAGCCGAGCTCATATCTGTGTGGAGGTGCTGGTATACAGCCCTCTGCGGAGCGAATGAGCAGTCAGTAGCAGTACAGGTATTTCAAATGAGTTGAACACAACATTTAAGTTTGAAGATGGTATTTCTAAATGGAAACCAAACAACGGATCTGATGTGCTTACATTTAAATTACTGTTCCTCATCCAAATGATAACAGTTTGAGAGCAGTCTGCTCTTACCAAATGAACTACTGATTCAGTAATAATTCGAGAGGGTGCACCATCTTCTGAATCGTACCCTCCTGTGCCATGGAGGATCACGCAGCACTACAGTCTAACCTTCTTTAGTTTTGAGATTTCATGAACTGATTAAGTTACTTTATAAAAAGGTAAAAACAGGTACATGGAAGTTATTCTTCAGAGCCAGCAATGCAATTTTAGATGCATAATAAACTGATTTGTTCCTCTATCTTTAAATGAAGATCTCTGTTTACCCCTGGCTTTAAAACTTTGCCTCACAGCATTCAGATAACATGTATCATCTTATAGCAAGATGGCTTGAGAAAACCCTCTCTCTTCCAGGAACAGTGTGTTCCCTTCTGTTGTCCAATGAAGAAATACTACCCCTAAGAAATAATACTCCAACTACATTTTTTTTTTTTAAATAAATACATCCTTTCATAAGAGCAACATGTGCCCATGGTGGTTTAATAATACAATTTCATGTTGGACGGTACTCCTGCAGTTTTTCCTTCAGTGGAAAAATGGTTTCAAAACTGGCAGTCAGGCAGCAGAAGTCAACTGGGTGGAGGTTCCCCGTTACTGATACCCTGGAAGTGGTAACTTCTGTCCTTCCTTTGCTTCAAAAAAGGTGTAAGAGAGGGTGATCAAATCAACTTTAGCCATTTTAGGGTCCTCTGCAAATTCTGGATCAATGTAGAAGAACACAGGCATGTCCACTTCCTCTTGAGGATTTAGCCGCTGTTCTTCAAAACAAAAACACTGCAGGGGGGAGGAAAAAAAAATGAAAACAAAATCAGACAATAGCAGCTATGGTAAACTTTATCTCTGCCAACATGAGAGAAAGCTTTGTCTTAAAATCAACTTTCATTCCTAAAATCCTGGGAAGGCTCAATTGTATGAGCAAGACGACAGCAATTCTGTTGCTCTTGTGTTACAGGAAAAAAATTAGCTTTTAATGAAGTGACCAAAAAGTGCAAAGGGGCCAGGCCAGCTCAAATTGTTGCTACCTGCCCTTAAAGTAGTGGTCCTAAATATCACATCTTTGGGAGCCACTCTAATGGGCACATACTGCAGCCTGTCAGGAGGACAGCAAGGCCAACAATGAACTGATGCACTGGCACTTGAAAAACTCATGGTGTTTTCTTAAAATATTGGCAAACAAAAAAGGATTATTATATCTAGGATTAAAACTAGAAAAGTCGATTTACGGACAACTATTCCCATTCAAGTAAAGGAAAATGTGATCTTTGCTTTGTTCACACTTACTTGTATTTTGTTGAAATACTGTCCTGCTTCAAAGGGTATTACATTGTAGGTGGAGATGCCAATTATTGGTTTGTCAGTAGGATTTTTCGCTTTATAAAATGCCAGTGCAGTCTCTCCTGGTACCACCTGTATAAAGTAATTGCACAGTGATTCTTAATTTTTTTCTTTTAATCCGCTGCAGCCTTCCACCCCTTAAAGTTCTTTAGAATTCAGCTAGAATGAGTTCATTTTCTCTTTTGCTGCCTCAAGGTGGTTACTTCACTACTTCACTAATATTTTGCTTATAGACAATTCACCCCCCTTCGAAATTAAAAGCACCAATAATGTTATATGTGTGCATTTGAATCTTACCCAGCTGGCCACTGAGACTTCTAATATTCTCAGCAGTTCAGCAGCGCACAGCGCTTTTTTCAACAGGTAGATTTATATATAGTGTACATTTCCTTGTTATCATTCTTTTATACTGGACTCGGAAACCAATTACGAAGCATGACTCCTTTTGGGAGTTTTTATTAAGAACTAATTTTAAACAGTAAAGTTAGATTGTTTCTTTTATAAAACATATAAAAACAGCCCTACGAGGACAGGGGCAAGGAGAGAAAGTACTAGGGGGAAAGTCCGTCAAAACCCCACAAGTTTGGATGTACAGCTACACCGTATGTATATTTAAATATATATATGCCCACTTTATGGTGTATTACGGTGTATTCAACATAAAGATTGTACACATAAGCAGCACCGGGCCGGGAGGTCCCGCAGCGGGGCGCAGCGCCGCCGATACCCGGGTCTGCGAGGTGACAAACGCGTAGGAGGCAAAATGACCCTTCGCCTCCCGGAGCCCAAGGGCCAACACGAAGCCACTCACGAAGATTTCGCTCTGCTGCGGTTTGAAGCTCCACTGGATGCTGGAGTGCACGTCCGCGTTGAAGGTCACCCTGATGACCCGGTCCCGCACCGGCTCCATGCGCTCGATCTGCTCCGAGCCGTGCCCCGCGCCCGTCGTCC